AGAAGTTCAACTTGTAAGAAAAATATTGAGGGCATGAAGCTATGGAAAAATCAAGCAGCTCATAATGTTTGATTGCATTTCAATGAGGATGAAGATTTGAGAGACTAGTACAAATCAAAAAAATGTGCTCTTGGAGGGTCACATTTGAACAACATAGAAAAGGAAAACACTGTTGAACCCTTTGGACATCTCACAAGTCACAATTCAATAGCATTATCGGCGTGATGGCAAAATTGACAAGTTGGTCAAAATACATCGAAGGTGGTTTGGATAGCCAAGGTCACTACAGCTCAAGAGCCCTACTGGCCTTGTGCCTGAAGGGTCATGGGTTCCAATCTCGCCCAGGGCATGGATATTTGTGGATGTTCATATACTGTTAACCTCCCCCCAATGTTACTCACAGTGGTCCTTAGTTGAAATGCAACCTTAAATAAAAATAGTTTTAGAAGAATTCAAAGATAAAGGGTTTCACAAATTATCATTGATGGAAAGAAGTTCTAGAACAAAGTTTTTGTAGATACTGCAAGTCCTTTAAAATATGATTGTAAATACAAAGATTTTCGCATTAACAAATTCTTTCAAATTGAAGGACTGCTTGACTGCTTGACCGCAGCCTTCGTCCGCCGGTAAGCCTGTGCAGTGAATGCATGATGTCACGCCTTGTCGTTTTACACGGGCTTTATGGCGGAATGAAGCGGAAGCCTAACATACTTCTTTTCCCTGTCAACAGCTTCAAATGCATTAGGAACGGCCGTTATCAAACTGACAGAGAAACATTTTGATATGATTCTTACGTAATGTAACTCAGATATCCATTTATATATTAATTTTTTTTGTTGGGGGGACTTCTACAGCCTTCAATGATGAGCCACATCTGTACTCATGAGTTTTTTCTCCATCTTCCATTCTCTAGCTCTCCAAATCATATATCATCTTTACCTTTTCATTATCCTCTAGTATTTTTCAATGGCTTTTTATGTATGCTGGTAGCTAACACAATTTTGAAGTGTAACCCATGTCCAGGGGAGTGGGTGCCCCAGGAGTTACGGGTTCTGTGCATGTTCACTCTACTCTGGGCATGTTCCGTACCCCTAATCATAAATTTGCCCTTTCTTCTCGCTCACTAATTCATCTTCCATTTACTTCGAGAAAGCTTACAACACAACCATGAGGTACATCATTCTTGCAACTTTACATTCTTGGCAACTCCAGGCATGATTCCCATTGTTCCTAGTAGATTTCCTGTTGAGAGCTGTCACACAAAGAATCACTCACAAAATTAGTAAGAGATTAAAATTTCACACTATTAAGAAATATTAGTTTTCATTATTTATCAAGAAATACTTCAATAAAGTTTCAGGCTGTGTTTGAATGTGACAAATATACACAGATTTACTAAGTCAAAAAATAAATCTAAAATAATCTTTAACACTGAATTTGTCCAAAAAACAAAACATTTTAAAAATACTCCGGCACAACCTTTCTCTAGATCCTGTTATGTAATACAACACCAATACATAGTTCTAATTCTGTTTAAACTTGCATTACGCAAATCATACTGTAATTCTAGAGAGAAAAGAAATGCATTCATGCACATGAAATCAAGTGTTCAATTATTAAGACACAAAACATGATTTCATATTCAATTTATTATATTCACCACATAATACTGCATTAATATTGTATTTTACTACATAATTCTGGACAAACAAAGATGACCATACATGTACAGCAAGTACACTTCTATACAGAAAGTATATAACTTAAAAAATTCTCGCACACAATCTCATTTCCATACTCCTGAAACACCATCAACAATTTGCAAATGTACTTAATATTATTTACAGTCTGAAGATAATTCTTGTCACTGCTTAGATAAAATATTCCAAGATATATATGTACAAAATGTATTTAGTAAGCAAATACGTTCATAACTGATCCTTTTGAAATTAAACATTTTACTGTAACGTGAAAAACATGCATAATAATGGCAATTCACTTAAACTAAATTATAAACAATCTCCTTTAAATAAAAACCTGTATTAATATACATGAAATCTCTATGTCCATAGAAAGAAAATTACCATTCAGGGCCAGCCTAATATTATAATATAATATATTCATTAAAAATATAGGTTCTTGATCAAAGCATTACAAAATATGAAAATATGGCCAGGATGCATAAATAATCAATATAACTCAAACTTCTAATAATAAAATGAGAGATCTCTGGTAAGTAATAAAGAATAAGCAGTATTAATGTACTGTAAATATATATAAAGGGATCTCCAAACTTCTGTCAAAAGGACCACATCAAATCTTTACTATAATATCAAGCAAGACACATTTTGTAAAAATTAAAATGTACACCTCATATTTATTTTCAAAGCTAAATTTTTCTCTCAAAACTCATGTAAACCCATCATATATAAACAAGAAAAGTCATATTAATTAATAAGTCCCTGAAATAGTCTATAAATTTCATTTCCAAGCACATTCCTACACATTACTAATGCAATGTTCTAATTTAGTTTTAAAATAAAGCATAAATTTAGTTCACAAAAAAGAAGAAAGAATAAATGGTATTAAGAAAAGTTTCTAATAATGCCACATTAATTATTTTCCTTCCATTTTGAATTAAGTTAGATGCAGCCTGCAGTATAGGCCAAATGAAGCTTGCAGTTTAGAGATCCCTCTTGAAAAAAGTAAGGGCAGGCAGCTCTTTCATACAGATCACCTAATTACCTGGACACATTGTCATCATACTATCTTATTTGCCAACAACATAATAACATATTAGCTTAAAACGAGTATCACAACAGCAATACAAGCTTCAACAGTATCTATTAAATTCAAGAGTAATCCATTTTTGCAAGCACAATGACGTTCCCAATAGCACAAAACAACTGGCAGTGAACAGCATTCCGAAGAACTAAAAAGCTAACTCTGCCAACCTGCCTGCCTCCCACTGAAACAACCAAATGGACCATTTCAGCTCACAGAAATTACTCTTTATAAGCGATGTAGTTCCAATACTGACACTATCTACAATGAAGAACAAGTTGAGCTTTCTGTAAGCTCTGCAGAAGACTTGTGGTTTCTTCAAAATCAAGGTCACTTACTAAGGTACTTCTCATGACTAATTTCTCCTGAAATGGTTTCATTAACTATTTTACTTTCAAAGTTGAGACCACTTATCTCAATACATATGTTTACAGTTTCGTTAGTATCAAAAGCATAACAAACACAGCACACTTAGTTAATTTTAAAAATGAAATAACATATAAAACACTTACTTCTCCATATCAAGATGTTAGACACAATTAACTCACAAAACTCTCTACAAACAGTAAGCATTATCTGCACTTTTCATTAAATAATATTTCATCACCAAAAGCTACTTGCTCTCAAGAAAAAAGCTACAGATCATTCCTGGTTTACAAACTTAAAATTTCTGAAACAATGGGGCGGTATTTTTTTCAAATTACTAGTAGACACTGAATTGTAATTTTTTGTTAACAGAATCAAAACCAAAGTTACTAGACAGAACAAAGCAGTGCTATTAAAATTTCATTAATAGGCATCAGTACTATTTAGATTAAATGTGTGCCATTATTTTGAAGCACTGTAACAAATTCATCTGCAAGAAGTTATTTACAAAATTGTTACTGTGAGTTTCATTCAAAACAATGTTAAAAACAAATCTATCTGTTTTTCAATATATAAAACAAAAATTGTTAACAAAATACGAAACACATCCATTATGATCAGAAGAATAAAACTTTGACAAATATTATGTGGGGAATATACATTATTCCTCACTGTGAAATGATCTAACAATCTACACAAATGTTATGTACAAAAGCTGACAATTGCAAGAGGGTGCATACAAATTTTTTTTTTATTTTTATTTTTTTAACATTCTTACACATTATAAATAAATGTTCAGCAAATGTGAGTGCTACATTTGAAACATTTCACTAACACTAAGGATTAAGAGTCAATACATGAAATACTTTTAGAGTTTGTGTGTATGTAAAAAAAAGACATCTGATGACCAAATTTCTCAGATTTTAAGATTACGTAGATATTCAATAAACTATGTGATGCAAACTGCATCAAAAGGCTTCATGTGTTTTGTATTGCCATTTGGCCAGGAATTAATACTTGTAGCTCCTCTGGAGTATCATATCTCTTGTTCTGTTAAGCACTGTTTTCTGCAAGTGCCAAGAAAGTATTTTCCACTATACACCATAAAGCCAAAAAGAAGTCTGCTGTCACAACAAACTTCTTTCCCACTTTTTATAATACCAGTACGATTTATTATTATTCACCTAAATTTCAAGAATACCTTTCTCATAAGAGTAAAATTAATTTTCAACAACTGAAAAAATTAGTTACTAAAATAACATACTTCATATGCCAAATAAAAGTAGCTAAGCCACAAGAAAAGATTACATTGGAAAGTTGTAGGTTTTGTCAAAAAAATAAGTACAGGATGTTCACCAGGCGTGCAACAGTTGGTCACAAAAGTAAAGCGCTCTCACTCTCACAGGGTCTGCAAAGGTCATCCTACATAGGAAAGTTTTCATTGGATGTTTGGATACCCTTGTTATTTTTGTGCCTCATTTCACCACTAACCTGCCCTTAGTTCCAGAATGCTTGGGGTTTCCAAAGGTGGCAGACTTGATCTGACATTTCTTATATCACTTCACTTTTAATCTACTAATATTTGCTTGTTTGCTATTTTAATACAGGATTTTGTGTTGTTTCAGCAGAGACAATTTGCAAGTTGTTCCTGTGTACTTTTCTACTTTTCCCAAAATCTATTCAAATCTGCACCATTTTTCGAAGTGTGTTTTGATTTTACTTGAAAATGAATAAATTACAATTCAAATTTTGGAAGGCCTAACACAAAATTAAACACTTATTAAACATCAAATTCTTTTGATAGATCTCCAAATCTAATAATGCAAAGAAACTCACGAAACTCAAGAAAACGTGCGCAGATAATCTTTTCCCTCTATATCACATACAGTTTTTACTGTTTTTTTTGACTGAATAAATCTAAATCATTTGTTATGAAGGAACAAATATTTCTTATCATATTTTGCCAAACTGCTCTTTGCTACTTTTAATTGTAATTCAACTTAACTTGTACCTTTAAGTATCGTAAAAGAGCAAGGGTAGGAATTCTGGAGCTCCACGTAAAGAGATTAGTATAATCCTTCATATTAGATTACTGAAGTTTGTTTTGCTGTTTTTGACATTAAATAAAAAAATAAATAAATTAATTTTTTTAAAATACCAGTAATTCTCTTGAGGTTTGCAAGTATGTTAAACTTAGAAGAAGAAGGAGATTAAGAAGAAGAAGAACAAGAAGAAGAAAAAAAAGTTCATAGAACCTGTGTTTGAGATCTGCTAAGAATCAAAGGAAATTTTTGATGATGTCGATCCATAATTTTTCAAGAACTATGAATATCAACAAAATATTTCAAAAATAATTCAGACACGAGAAGCTTCAGCCTTCTGGAATGGTAGGAGAAAACAACCATGGACTATTCATGTGAATTCTTTCCAACAAAACCTAGACACTTGGGTATCTCTTGAAATATCTGCCAATTACTACACATTTCATGGAACCTTTCCTCCTATAAAGCCAAGCCTTGGTCCTCTCAATGACTCTAGATCTTTGCAAAACCAGACTGCCAAGTTGCCCATAATTAACTTGGTTTGTTCCAATTTTCCACAAATTTCAAACAACAAGGGCAATTATAACAAACAAAAAAAACAAAAAAAAAAAGACACACACTAACAAGAACAATAGTATGTCTGGTCACTTAAAATAGTAGTATCAATTTATAAGGATTAATTTGGAAAATGCCAATTCCATATTACATTTTAGACAGATAATACTAATTTAAATCTTGAGAAAGATGTCTAACTATAGGCCTGTCAAAATGAATATCATGTACGGCAAAATAAAAACACATTCAATTATTTCTAACTCATACTTAATCTTGGGCCATGGTCTCATCTGTTAAAAAAATGTTTTCCTCTTTGATGAGCTCAGTATAGGCCAATTCTGTAACATACAATAGCAAATAAACATAGAAGTATTGTATAATGAAGAAATAAAACTTAACAATAAAGTGTTAATTAAATTTGTGGTAAAGAAATGAGAATAAATAAAATCGCATAATGAATAGTCTACACGCATTAACTACAAAATTACAATTATAATGCAATACACTATGCAAAGCCACAATTTGCTCAGGTACATATCTACAGCACAAGAGTAAAACTGAAATATTATGAAGAGGCACACAACGTGACTTAGCAATGTGGGATGATCAACAAGACGCTGACCCTAAAATGATAATTTAACATGACAATAAATTTTCAAGTTATGCAAAATAATATTTTCTTTATCCCTGATTATTATACATTTATGAAAAGTCTGCAGACCACTCACTGTAAAATGAGCCATACCAAAAACTATAAAAAATCACAAATTTACTTTTGCTATAGTTTATCCACTGAAAATGATAACTAAATTTAAACTTACTGAATTTATTTTACTGAAACAATTTCCTTGCATTTTTCTTACATAGGAAAGAAATGTTTCATCAGCAATCATTCAATTGAGGGTCATTCACATAAGTGTTCTGAAAGATTTCAACATCAAATAGATGATCAATTTGAGCAACTGAACACTATATTTCATATCAAAATAAATTTTAAAAACTTAAAAATTATCTTCTGAATCATTCTCATGTTGCCCACCACCGTGAATATTTACTTAAGTTTTATTTTCTTTCATGCCAAAATGATAGAAATGGGAAAATTCTAACTGATGAATGTTAAAACACAAAAAGATACAGTACACCAAACATGCCCACAAATTGAATAAATATTGATGAATTTACCATTCATATGATTGGGTTACTTACACGACATAACACTACTCAAGGTAAAATAAGAAGTCTTATTACACTGTATCTCTAAAGGATATGAATAACAAGAAATTCACTGTTTTAAGAGAGAACTTTTCTGACAATAGTGTAATACCGTAACACACTTTCAGAATTTTATTGTGGAGTCACACGATTCTTATCTGGGAACACACTGAAATAACACATTCTTCATGCAAGGTTCCCACAGATGAACTATCCTTTCACATACTATCCTTTTCACATCTAAATAAAGCTCCGCAAAACTGAATCCAAAACAAAATAAATGAAAAAAATTAAGTTTAATACAAAGTTCATTAAGACTGGATCATAAATACTGTTGCCTACCTTATGTCCTACGAGTCTAGAAGGCCAACTAATAAGTGTGAATAAAGTTTGCAAGACACTTTAACCAGAAGTCATGCACCTTCCAAGATAAATTTGTCCTTGATCACTACAAATATAAGAAACAGCACAAGAAAGACAAATTCTAAGCAAGCAAGTGTAACAACATAGCCTACAGAGGAAATTGTAATAAATAGGTTGATTTGCATGCAATACTTTTTACATATCAAGCACCTAGTGTAACAATCGCTAGTGTATTTCTAGTATAACAATTATAAAGTAGATTCTTTTGGAAAAATTTCACAACAAAAGAAAACAAAAAAGAAAAACAGGTTTCACCTACTTTCTCAAAATAACAAGAACATGATTGAAAAATAAATATTTTTTGCAGAAATGATTAGATGTAACAAAAGAAAATGTAAAAAATTAAAAATATTAATTTAACATAAGTTAAAAAAGTTAGTTCCTTGAAGACTTTTGTAATTTCATGATGCAAACAACATAACTCCACAAAGTACTTGCTAATTCCATTTGTACATACATGGCATAGGTAATATTTTAAATTTTGATTTACGAAATTTAATTTCTCCATTTATCTTTAGTGAAAAATTTGACATTTAAAATTTCACACAGAAGATAATGGAATTGTACATATGTTAATGACCCTTAATTGTCACACTGAATAACCGCATTTTTGTATACAAAATATATACAACTTTGAAATATATATTTACATTGTTTAAAAAAAAACATTCTAAAAATTGTAATTGAATAGTTCAAACTAACTGTTTGAGAAAAATAAAAAAACAAAAAACCAACAAAAACATGCAACTCAACTTGCACCGTGAATATAATATATTTTGAACATTGGCGTTTTTAGAGCAGTACAGGTACTGGCTGAACAGGGAACAAGCTGGCAAACTGTGTGGACTGAGGCTGGATGGTGCATTGAGTTCACTTTCACATTTTTCACATAGTTATCATACTTCAAGAAAATCTTTCAGAAGTGTGGCACGACGCTTTTCAGCAATATCCATTTGATTCTCCAAATCTCCTCTATCGGTAGTTTCAGCTCTTTCAATCTTCCAAGACAAATTTTCAATCTCTGCTTCTAATTGTGCCTGTTGATACTCAAACTGGAAATGAGAGCACAAACAACTTTTCATTATTGTTGAAGGGCAAACTAATATGCAAGCTGGACGTTTTTTTTATCCTAAGCAACAAATTTGAGTTTAGCAAATATTGAATATAGAATACAACAGAAATGTAAAAACATTATCACTGAACATTAAACACTTGATAATTCAAAATGTTATCCATAATTTGAATGCCAAAATCTAGAACTAGAGGATTCAGAAATAGACAAGTTAAGATTGAAACCTAAATTTAATTTTTAATGAAGCAAAATAATTTGTGGAAGTAGAAGTAGAAGTGGCCATATCCCAATGATCTCGAAATTTAAAAGAAACAGTTGTTGGTAGGACCATTGGCAGCACTTTTCAAACAATGGTCATTAGCAGCCTCTTTTAATCAGACATTTCCATCAATTTTTCACACAATGTCACAAATATATTTTTTTCAATAAGTTAGGAAATATTTGTCTAGTTTTTTCTGAACCATTTATTTCAAACCATAACGATACTGTGTGTGAAACAAAGTACTTGAAATTTATGCAAAGAAATCTGCCAACAAAAATCTAAAATTATTAAAATTAGAAAAAGAAAATACCAAAACTTGGTATCTTTCTATGTTTTATAATAAAACAAACATGAATTTATGAAACAGAAGCATGAAGATAACAGAAATATTTATCACAATTTGTTTTATTTTATGAAGAAGGCATAGGTGATGAGAAAGAATATTTGGCAAAATGCCTTTTTAATTATTATTAATTTTAGTATTAACAATAGGAATCATGTAACCATTTCTGAAATTCTACTGGAAGATTGTCTTTATGACTTTTTAGCTCCTTCCAACTATTTTAAGTATTATATAATTTATATAATCTTTTCTTAATTAGTACTTCTCTTCAGAACCAGACCCTTTAAAAAGAGATGAAAACAGGGGCGCAAAAGCTTCTGAAACATTGTGTTTTAAAACTGACAAGCTTCGATGTAAAATTTAATTTGTATTGTATGAAATAAAATAATTCTCTCTTGTCTAAAAAACATTTTTGAGGGGACTTGTTTTTAAGAGAAGTACTTTTTTAAGTATTCTACCTTATTTAAATCTTTATCTTCCCTAAATGCCCTTTTGCATGCCTATTCTAGCAAGAATACATCTCTTTTTGACTACATATTTTAGGCAAAATAATTGACTGAATTTCCAAACTCTGATAGTCCCAAAGACCCTTGATATCTGCTACTTATATAAAAAATGGAGGACAAGTTTATTTTCTTCCTATTTATGACATTTATTAAAAAAATAAAACTAATTCTGAGAAGCTCTGAACTTGAAAATAAAAAGCATAAAACATTTAGCAGGTTAGCAGGAACACCCAAATTGATTTTCTAAAATGATACTCATCAATGTTTCTCAGAAGTTTTACTCTTTGACATTCCTATGATTTATAGGGAGCGAGATCAAAGAACCACTTCCAATAAACAATTTTCTCTTGCGAAACAGTAGTTAATTAGCTATTCATAACCACAGTATATATCACCAAACACCACCACTTATTGGCAACTATTTAAAACATTACCTCACACAAGAATTAGATTTTTTGAACATTTTGATAATTATGATCTAAACCATGAAGTGAGCATGAGCTAAAGTAACCTAGTAATGCCTGAGTATTTATTGATCAAAATAATCCATTAGACATTAGGATATAATAAGGAATAAATTCCATAAGGAATAAATTCTATTTTTAGTGTAAATGTAAGTAATTTTATTTGCATCCTTGCCATACCTCCCTCCTCTCCTCTCCACCCACCCATCCATACCTCACAATCTGACAAATTCCACTCTCGTTGCCCTCCCCTTCTTGTCCACTCATGCCCCATGCTGAATTAGAATATATCACACTCACCAATTCCTTGCGAGGTCCTGCCTCCATATAGTATGCATATGGATAGGTGTATTGCAGAGTATATCGACATTTTGCGAGGAGAGATGTAGCATCAAGAAGGTACTGCCAATCAATCCATGTCCCTGATGAATCCATGACCTTTTTGTTAATACGTGTTTTGATCTTCAACAATGTTTGCTCTTCCAATTTAAGCGATTTAGAATGGTTCTCCCACTAAACAAAAAAATTAAAAAATGAGGTAATAAATAAACAAAGCGAGGATCCAAAACATTCCCACAATAAAAAAGAAACAAAAGAGCTTTGCAAAATTTCAAAAAAAAATTCCTAATATTTGAAATACTAATAACTCATTTTATTTTGTATTAAGGCCACCAATGTTGAACAAGTTTAACTGAGGAACGCTAAGATATTAAATGTCCCATGCATTATTAAGGAGAGGGTGGACTGGGGTTTCCAGAGCCCACAGTTTAAATTTGGTATTAATGATTTTTTGGCAATTTTAATAAATTGATATAAGTAATAATATACACGTAGACCCATTTACACAAAAAAACTTGTTCAATCACATGCAGAAGCAACAGGTTTTTGGATACAGTATTAACTTATAAAAAGTAAGTCAGAATAAATGACATATTTTACCCTTTCATAGTAGTGCAAGTATTTCTTGAGGGCCTCTCTGGCTTGGGCATGCACAGACTCATGAGCAATATTTGGATTTTCCTTGTAGCGTGAACACTCATAGTATTCAGAACCATGGGATTTCCAATCCCCTAGACACATCCAACAAAAGTCATGCTTGCAATTATAACACTGCATATGATTGCACCCACCATTTTTCTCAATGCAAATATGGCAACGGGGACACTAAAAGAAACAAAAACATAAACTAACACACAATCTAGTTCACAACACTGAAAGTAGTACCAAAGAAATACTGCAAAAAGGAGAATGTGATTTTGAGAATCGTTCAAACTTACATCTTTGGTATGAGCACTAATATAATTGGCAGTTTCACTATCATCTGCACATTTTGTGAGCCATTTCTTTATCGTTGAACAATCTGTGGGGGCATGATAATCGGTACCACACCGGAAACTAAAAACAATAATTTCATGTTAACAAATTAAGTAATATAAAATGACACTTTGCTGAAATTCATTGCCATAGATGTCCCTTTTTTTTTACTAATACCATATGATATAGAATTATAATAAAAAAGATTCACTAATTTTTAAATATTAGCAAGACTATTCACAAAACAATTGTCACAGATATGTTGGGCCATTTTGTTTCACATTTCCAACTTATCATACGTTTCTTGAATGTAAAACACTATTCATAAAACACATTCTCGCATTATTGTTTTTTTCATTATCTTTGAACTTTCCATTTTGAATGTTTTTCACAAATACAGAAATAAAAAGATTTAGCATATCTGAGCTATAATCTATTGAAAATGTAACAAAAAAAGACACACCAAAAGATGGCTCGGCAAACATTGCATATGACACGTTTTGCTTGAGGTTCCTTTGCCCGCACCACAACTTGACAGTTTGGCCCAGGACAGAAACGAAGATGAGGATGCGAACGCACGTAATCTCGGAAGGCAAACTGCTGGTATTTGTCACGCAAAGCTGGTCTACTGAGTGAATTAAGGACAAAATCCTCAGGGGCAAGGACTTCACACTCCTGAGCCATACAACCAATACCTACAAAAAAATGGAAGATTGAAGTTTCATACGGATCAACACTACACTTACAATTATTAGAAAACTCATCACACCCGTTACACATTTTCTATCCCTATCTACACAATCCTATTCCAAAGAAAGGAAACTGTATTCATTAAAAAAATATTGAATTTATAAAGTACGAATTGTGTCATATTATTATACATGTGTGAGCAGAATGAAGACTTATCCAGGATTTCAGAAGTCCTTGTAATACATTTATTACAGCATGTTGTTAAACCATATACATAAACACTATTCCCAAAAAAGATTCATGAAAAGATACACACCAGGAACTAATTCCAGTCCAAATAATGAAGAGGAGTGAACAAGCAACCCAACTGATCGAAAGAGTACAATAGAGAAAGAGATCACAGAAATAAGACTTGAAGGAAGGTTAAAGTACTGGCAAATCAAAGAACAATGAAATTATACACAAAAACCCAACGTTCTCAGGGAAACAAAGGAACAATGGCATGGTAAGCCAAACAAATGTAAAAGCCAAACAAAAGGAACTTTGTACATTTAAAGTACCAACTACCTGTTGAAACTCCCTGGGTGATCTGGACTTCAAAATGCATTGACCAACATTCCTTGCAAAATGGATGCCCACATGCCAGACTCTTGAATTTATCACTGCTCTGAGATGCTAAACAGACAGGACATGACTGAAGGCGTCCTAACTGAAGGATGGATGGTTCTGGAGGATGAGGTGGCTTGATCTTGGAGATCACCAGTAAGTGTGATGAATCTGACCGATATTTTGACACTATCTCAGAAATTAGCCAATTATGTGCATGAAGTAATACTTTGGCAAGGGAAGGGGTGATCTGGAAAGAAATAAAAGTAGTTTATTCTCGTCCATTATCTTTATATTATGACTATCAATGAATTAAATATCTCTGAAAATCACATTAGCTTCACATTTAGGCGGCTTTTCTCCTTAGACATAAAAGCCTATCTTCAAAGAATTCCAATAATCATAAAATTTGTATTATATTTCCTTTCACCTATTACTATAGAGTAAATAAGCTCATCAGAAAAGAATCATCAATTACCACTGCGTATTGTATTATATCAGTTTCTTCTTATTTTTGAAGTAAATATGATAACATTTATGATCTTCATTAAGTGTAACAAACACAGTGAATCTAGTTTTTGAGTATTGTATTTGCAATTCAATATGCTTTTAATGATGTGAATTGTAACTTGAAAATATAGCAAAGGATTGTTAGCTGAATTTAATTGCTTTTAAATGATTAAATCTTTACATAGCATCGTAGGCTTTCACGGTCAAAGTCAATAGTAGATAAATTTTCCGGACTGGCCAGGCGCAGCCCCAAACACTGCGCCTGCGACCCTGCTGCCACTGAGGATGTTCACTGCGGATGTGGAAGAAACGTTTGGCCCTTCAATGCCAACTGGACCACAGCCTACCAGCCCGGAAAAGTTATCTTCCATTAAATCCTTGTTCTTCATCCAAATATAGGCCCTACTGTAAGCCACATAAATATTCTGGAAGTGTGCACAAGCAAAGGAACTCTACATTAAAAATGCAGTGTTCACCATGAAACTCATGCTGATGGTATCAACAAGAATACAATTTTAAATTTTGTTTTACATGTAATCAATGGTGATGATTAATCCAACAAATCTTGATTAAAAGGACTTGCTACAATAACAAGTAAGCACTGTGTTTCTTTATACACATACTGCTAGGAAATTTTCTAATTGAATTTTAAGAATGTAGACCCAACAAGAAGTAAAGAACATTATCTGCATGATAACTCACCTGTAAGCTATTGCTCAAGCTCTCAACTGATTCGTTTAGAAGGCGCTCCACTTCTTCAACACTAAGGCAATCAAAAACAAAATACTCAGGGTCAGTCTTACTTGGATCTATTTGATCTATATCACAGTCTTCTTCAGTATTGTAGTAATCAGCATAACCACAATCCTCTTCAGAGTAATCCATATCAGAGTCATATTCCTCTCCAGACATCTGCATTAAAAATATATTTATCATAAGACAGAAAATAAAAGTTTTTCTTTAATTTTGAAATGTTCATCTACTGGGAACAATTGAAGTGACAGTGTGGTTTATTGGAAACATACAGTTGGCATTCCAAATATGTGTGCAAAAAGACTGCAGTACCAACGTTTTTGTTTATTACATTAGCAGCATACATTGGCATAGTGTGAGTAGAGACAAGGTAGTCACTGTCCAATAGAAGAAAAAATTAATGCACAGAAACTATATAAATAAAATTGGGATGTCTGTCTGTGATTTCAAAAGTATTTTTCTTATTATCATGTATGCTTATCTACATGAAATGAAAACCCATTCCATTGTTTTTATGATTTTTTTGTCTGTCAGTCTGGGGTGATCTCGAGAATAACTAAACCGATTTTGAAGAGGTTTTCACTGTAACAGGCAGGTATAACTTAGACTACTTTTTTCAAATTCATATTTTCTCTTATATAAAGGAGAATTGTTTGTTTTCAGTTTATTTGACAAAGTGAGTTGAGGCTGAGTAGAATAAGAAAGGACAGGATGGAGCTGAGTAGGTGAGATGTGTGACAATGAGATAGGATGAGACAGGAACGAGATGCAGCAGCACATGCCAGGGTAAAAGATCATTTCTTATCCTTTCTAATAGAGGATTGTGATTAATAAATAATGAGAGAAAACTGGATACTACAGATTGTATAAATATTCCAAAAGAAGATATTCTTCTTTAATTCTAAGTTCATTGAGAGGAAGGCAGAAGTCTGAGTAATGAGTCGGTGCTCTGCCAGCTATAATGCAAGAAACCCTAGTATCCCAGGGCAACAGCTCAGATGAGTGATGCATCTTTGAGAATTCAATTTTTCATAAGAAAAACCTGTGTGTGCACCTAGGAAGGTTGAGAAATTAGAACTTCCAAAAATTTCTGCAGCTATCTCCCCATTTGATTTTGTCACACCACGCCACTAATAATCAGATATTTCCTGTTTGGAATGATGACAGCGAAGCCATCACAAGCTGCTAAATTATAAATCAAAATGTGGACATTGACAAAGCCATCATGTAAATATTCGATCATTAAAAATATAATGAACACAATAAATTACCTTTATTTTTTCATCCAAGTACTACAAGGCTAAACCAATATAACAAGATTCAATTTCCCTGCACTATTTTTGGTGTCTGTGTCGCAACTTGAGTTGTTTTCCAGAGTAATAATTTTCATCCCAGCCAATAATGACACAATATTTGAACTTGAAAATCCCTGATTGTTGAAATTGTTGCATTTAGAATTTTACATTACCAACACTATTCGAGCATACCTGCAACAGAACAAAACAACTTGCTTTAAATAAATCACAAAGCAGCTTCATACTAACGTTTCATGACTATACTTGTAAACACAGTATTAAAACAAAGTATGTAAATTTAATAACTGATAAAAACACAATCCACTCTTATAGACAATAATTAATGCAAAACAAAAGATATATACTGTATTCCGAGAAGAACTGAAGTGCCAAAAAGAAGAGAGTGGATTGCACTACAGTTCAAAACTAATGCAAAAGTACATTTTCTTTATACATTTTTTATATAAATTCCACTTCTCAAATAATCCAAGTTTCACATGGGCAGTATGCAACAAAATAAATATACCATCCACTCACGTGAAGAAAAATACCGCTGCGTCTGACACTGTGCCTGCAGAAATTTCCTACATACATTTAGCAAACTTTTTCCAACGTTTGTAATTTGATCTTGGCTTTGTAAGCTGCCTTTTCCGCAATAACATGGTTCTTATTAATCCCATACGTTAAACCATGTAAATTTTAACAGAACAAACCTTCACATTTAAAACATATTGGTACTTCCACCAGATAATTTTTTTTAATTAAACATTGAAAGTGATGAATATGCAAGTTTTCCATATTTTCAATTTTCTAGTAGTATATCAGAGATTATTTTGATACAAACAGGAATAAACTCATTTTTGCAGAAATATGAATTTCAAAATAGAGGATTGTAAAATTATGACACAGATTTATATTATTAATCTTTAACTCGCAACACACCTTAATAAAAGATTTTACTTTTTAATGAAATTTTCTGACATACATTACAATTATTTAGTGTTAATGAATTTTTATTTATAAATGTACTAAACAAAACATTAGCTGTTCAGAATCTATGAAAAAAAATAAAATAACAGATGAATATTAAACTGTAATACTTTCATTTAAAACATCAGGACTAATTTACTCATAAAAAGCAACTTTCTCTTTGTTGGATGTTAAATGGCCAAACAATATTGAATGTGATTATATAAAGCATTCTCTTGTATTTTTCCATTTTCGGCATTTAGTCTTATTTATGTAGATTATCACATCTCTCAAACACTGATACGAGTTGCAATATATTGTATGGAGGAGGAATTCCACACCAGATTGAATCATGCAAGTAGTCGCAAAGAAAAAGAAAAAATTAAAAAATACATAAAACAAATATTAAAATGCCATTAGTTTCATTCAAAAACCACTTTAACTACAGCACTGTATAAACACACGCATACCCACAAAATTATTCTAGGAGATAAGGAATTACAAGTCAAATTTAATTAGGATTTAATTTTAATTATTTCTAGGATTTAATTTTATTTATTTCAAATCAAAATATTGCGATTTTAGAATTATTTTTTTTGTTTCGTTATTTTTATTTAAAACAAATTCAAATGAGAGATTTACTAAAAACACAAGAAGAGTAATTTTAACATGAAAATAAAGAATTTGAAGATGTATGAAACATTGTCAGCTTTGCACTTTAACTAATAACTTCAACTAATCAGGCATACATTCAAACACTTTGCATTTATTACTAATTTCAACATATCCAGTACACTGTAGAGTATTTTTTAAAAAAGATAAAATTTTAAAGAATAAATATAGTTAACTTTTAAAAGGATATTAACCATTAAATTACAAAAGTAACTAATCAGAAAAGAAATGTCTGATTAGATGACAAGATGAAAATACTGAACAACAACTTTCTCAACTAATTATGAATGCATTTCAAAAATAAATTAACACACACTCATTCACAGATTTAATATTTTTCATTTCCAAGTGCGCTAGCATTTGATTTGAAAAAAACGTTTATGTAAATTCACACAATATTTCAAAATTTAAATTTGTTTAAAATTCTTCCCTGTAAAATTATTTTTTTTAAATTATATTATACATTAAAGCTGAAAGCACACTTTCCTATTTGTGAACCCTAGTGTCAATGTGTTAAACGAATCGAAAGGGTAATAGCGACACAAAATGTATAATAAATTATGCACTGCACTTTCAAAAAACATCAATTTTCTCAAACAGGAACAGAAAATTCTTGATGAACTGGAGCAAAGGGTTCTAGCGAAGCGTATCCCACGAATCTCGAAATAAGTCTTCAGAAAAGGAGGCATCGCAGCGACCCCAAAATGAATCCAAACAGGGATTCACAATCCTTCTACCAAATAACAGCACGTGCACCAACTATTCATTCATTTCATTTGAACCTGATTCACTATTTCTTTTCTGGCATGATTTGCCAAACATTCGTCACCGTGCACGTCCACCTATGTATGCCAGCTGATTGGACTTGCAAATCAAAATTAATCAATTAAAATAATATCTATGTACAAACACGTACAATTATTGAAGTCCAGCTTCGTAATTATCAGGTTTTCCTGCACCCGCCAATGTGTTTCTTCATTCATTACTATTGTACATGATCAGCCAACGCCAGACCCGCTGGCTTGGTCATAGGAACACTCGCCGCCCCTCGATCGTCAACACAGAATAGCCAGCCCCTCGTGCATCCTGAGTGTCTACAGGCGTACCAAGCAAAAAGACGAAACTTCCCTGGGTAATGTTTAGGGAAAAAAGAAAATTACTAAGACAGAATTCATTCGTAGAGCTAGACACTGTTCTCGTAAAAGCACGCACATGTACGTGCACATTCGCTATCTCTGCTCAACGTTACTGTTTTGCAGATTTCCTAACAATAATTATCCTGGTAATCTCTACGGAAACGTTCACACAGCCGAAAACCTAAAAGGAAAATTACGGCTATTTTTAATTTTTCTACTTCAATGATGGAATTCTACCTAATTCGAAATCAGAATTTCATAGGTTCTTGTCTGAAATTCAACCGCTACCTGCTCTCTCAAAATAGGGGGGGGGGGAGAATGGAAGCTTGTCGAAACAGAGTTCGACAGTGAAGCTAGTAATGCACAAATAAATTGCGCTGGGGTGGATCAAGAAAGTATTTCTGAAACGGGGGGGAACAGATCCCACTCATCAGTGACTAGGCGTCCGGCGGGCCGAGGGGCCATCGATAACTGCGTTAATGCCCAAACAAAATTATAAAAATAATTTGCAATATTTTAGAGAATTAGACATCAGGGAAATATCTACAGATATTTTAACAGTAATTGTACAAAACAGCTAAAATTAGCCACGAAACAATGAGAAGCACGTAACGGATTCGTCAATATTAGCGAATCGAATTGAGAGCGCGCCGCCGCTCACGGTGACTCATCCGGCCGTGACGTGTCGTATTCCTTTGCACGGCGATAAGGACTCCAGTCATCACTGTTTTCGAAGAATCTTAAATAGCCCCGGGCAAGCAAGGTAAAATGCCTTTACGACGTACCGAAAAAGAAACACTGATCAGAGCAGCTGGCCGTTAGAATTCTCCTCCAGACAGCTACTGAATTCGTCCTAGCTGATAAGCTAATGCGACCGTCGAGACGCGAACCTAGGACCTTCCGGTTAGAAGCACGGTAGTGATATTAGTTGATGACCTGAGCTACCTCTCCCGGTAAATTTCAACAATATATTGTTTATTTAAGTCTGACAGAGCCGTCGCGAAGGGCTCCGATGCTTCGGAGAGGGTTCCCAGCAATGATTAGCTGATGTGTTACGGCAAGATAATGAGAGAGTAGCCCCAGCTACAGCTCGTTGACGTCGGGTACGCTACTTCGAGTCGTGTGACACAGGGCCTATTTTTTTAATACAAGTACTTCGTCTCGATTCGTGGACGGGGAGTTCGTCTCATGATTGTTTGGAATATTCTTTCGATGCATGGAATACTGAAATGGCAGCGACTGTTCAGTCGATTGTACGTCAATTTCAAATTGTTTGCGAGGAAGGGGTGCGCTTTCTCGCAGAACAATCAATAATCGTAAGGAATGATAACCGAATACTAAACGAATTTTAAAATAATTATTTCTAAAGCATTTCAATATTGCCTTAAGGCAGTTCAGGATATTCAATTAAAAATTAAAAGAAGAAAGAAATCAGAAAAATGAGCCTACCTTTGAGCATTTAAAAAATAGAACACCCTACGACGTTGCGACCACGCCAAAAAGCCACGCTTTGCCCACAGCACATTTCATCCATCCTAATATATATATATATATATATATATATATATAAATTGTTTGTTTGTGCTGAATGCGTTTTTGTACCGTTCATCTGATAGCGATATAACTTTGTTAACTTATTGCTGGCACTTGTGGCAAGAATATAGACACAGTACGATAGGAGTGTACATATGCGTGGCCTGCGCACGTAGACGCGCGTTGATGATTTTATGTTGGTTTAAGCACCCTTAACAGGGCGCTCTACGTAAAGGTGCTCGTCGCAGCCCGCCGCACTGAAGAATGTTTATTAAGACGTCTTTACTGCGTATTCTGACCCTGCGATTGTGAAATTTCTCCCAGGAGAGACATTTACAGGGAGACAGAGGAAGACCGAGACGCGGAGAGAGAGAGAGAGAGAGAGAGAGAGAGAGAGAGAGAGAGAGAGAGAGAGAGAGAGAGAGAAAGAGAGACTGAGAGGGACACGAAAAGACACGGAGAGAGAAACGGAAAGGCACGGAGAGTAGGAGACAGAGAGGGACTGAGACGGGGAGAAAGAAAGAAGAGGGAAGGAGAAAATGAGAGATAGAGGGCAGGACAAAGTGTGCCGGGTTCCGCTAGTACTACATGATAACTAGTAGTGCGTCAACGAAAATCTAACCTATGCCATTTGTATACATATACTTTACTCTGAGAAAAAAATTGAATCCAAGTTTAGAAAATTTTGAAAATGTCGTCGGGCAAAATGCAAAATACCCATTTCAAAAAAATGTATTATTTCAAATTCAATGGACAGCGACATCAACCAGATAATACCATCAACCGATTGAGTATTATCAATTTTATTGAAAATCCTACCTTGGGTTTTCAATGGGGGCGATATTAGAAACTTAGAAGCGCTAAAGCCTTTCGTTTTTCATG